CGCTGCAATCCCTTCTCCTCCATTCTCCTCTCGGGATCTTGGGCACGCATGCACATGTGCCCGGTGTGAGTTTAAGCCACCGGCTCTGGGACGCAAAACGCTGTCGACTACGTGGGAGTCCAGCGACATAGCCATTACGCTAACTGCTGGTTCCTCAGGAATTATTTTATTTAACTTTATTTATTTGTTTATTTTAATTTGACCACAGAAGGACAGAGAGAGAGAGAGAGAGAGAGAGGGAAAAATGAGAAAATAGTTCCTAGGTCAATCCCATAGAGTGGTTAAAGGGAGCTGGTGGTTAAAGAGAGCTGGAGTCCACATGGCTAACCATGGTTTGAATCCCTACCCTGGTGGCTTGAAAAAAACATGCCGGGCACATGAACATGCCTCACACCCCAACCTGAGGGAGAATGGAGAAGGGATTGTGGCATGGCCATGTCCCATTGGCAGGGTCTCTCCCTCTTCTCTCCCTCTCCTCTCCCTCTCCTTAGTGAGAGAGAGACACGGTCCTCTGGCATGAAGAAGAAAAGTTCAGTTCCTCAGTTGCACTGGCCACATTTTAAGCATTCAGTGCCACTCCTCTCTTGGCTTCTGTATCTGAGTCACAGTAAGGAAAACTTAGCTCAGAGGGGAGCACACTGGCCAGGCCAGCCAGCTGGTAAGTTCTAGCTGCAAGATGGGAACAGAGTTTCAGAGCCCTGTGGTTTGCCCCCCTCTCACAAGGCCTCTCTGTGGAGCGGAACTGCCTTTATGCCTGCAGGAGTAAATGGGTCTTCTGGTTCAGACTAACCGTGATTTGAATCTGATCCAGCCCAGGTAATGCCCTTTCAGTTCAACTTTCAGAATGCATACCTGCCCGTGGCTACGGCCTTCAGGTTTGTAGTGGTGAACTCCCCATCTTTGCAGGTACTCGAGTGGACCCTGGAGGGATGCTATGAGTGAAGCTTCCCGGTAGAGTGTGGGGGGTCTGTGGGGATGACCTCAAACGTTCCTTCTGGTTCTGGGATTGTTGGTGAGGCAGAAGAGGCAACCAGGCCTCTCCCACTCTAAGTGTGGCTGAGTGCTCCTGGGAGCCCCGGAGGTCCTTGAGGACTCCAGGAAGAATCTATAGGAGCCCAGAGCACAGAAAACTCTCTTCCACGCCATCTGGCCACCACTCCGAGCCCAGGGATTGTGGATCAAGAGATTGCAGTGATTAGAGACATTAACCCACAGAGGCAGTGGGGAGCCTGCGGGGCTCCCCGACCCAGACGGTTTCAATCTCATAATTGTTCTGCTTGCAGCGCTGGGGGAAGGGAGGCAGTGGCTCTCAGGTTCTGCCTGGAGAGAGAAGAAGGCTGCTTGCTGACCCTCACACCGACCCCTGGTGGGAATCATGACCCCATTTTATACCGGGGGCTCTGGGCAGCTCAGTCATGGCCCAAGGGCTGGCTACAGAGACGTGAGTGGGTCTGGAAAGGACTCCCCTGGGGCTCTGCCCACTCACTCTGCCTGTGCACCTCACTGCAGAGGGCCTCACAGGCTGCCCGGGCTGCTGGGTGTCCCTCCCCTGCCTGTCATCTTTCTGGGATGCCACCTTGGCTCCGGGACCATCTACAAGCCTTCAGTGGCCATGGGCCCACTACAGCCTGACTAAGTCTCCTCTGATGTGCTCCAGCTACCCTGGCCTCCTGTTTCTTCTTTTCTTTTGAAAAGATTATTTTATTTAATTTTATTCATTTGTTTATTTTAATTTGATCAGAGAGGGACAGAGAGAGAGAGGAGAAATGAGAAAACAAGCCGCCAGGTTCGGGACTTGAACTGTGGTCAGCCACGTGGGAGTCCAGCGCCCCTAGCCAGCACGCCACCTGCCGGCACTCTCTTGTTGCTTCTTGAACTACCTCTGCAGGGGTTGTTTCTTCTGCCTGGGAACTCTCTGCCCACAGTAGGGCCCCCTTCCCACTATCTCCACAGTCTGGCAAATTTCCACTAGCCTTTCTCAAGATCAGCTTAGATATCCCTTTTTCTAGGAAGTCTTCCCTGACTGCAGCCATCCTGTGCACCCTTCCAGGGCGCCCTGTGCTTCCCAGTTTGTTACAGGGCATTCTATCACTATACTCATCCTGTGTCCTCAGAGCCCAACCTGGCACCTGACATAGGACAGGCCACCAGGGAATGGGTACAGAGCCAAGTAGTGAAGACGGAAGGGACCTGCTCCTGCCCCTGCCTCCCACTTTGTTTTCCTGCCCTGCTGCTGCTCACCTCTCCAGTCTACACACTAGGGACCTCGCTGAGCTTCAGGCGGGGCCAGGCAGCTCCTGCATGCAGTAGTCGGGGCCCTCTGGGCAAGTGAGCGGCCTCAGCGTGCCTCAGCTTGACAAGCGGGGGTGATGGTGGTTTAACATGATGACTACTTTCAGGGCAGAATATGGCCTTGTAAGTCACACGTTTCAGTGAGCAGTGTCCCCCGTCCCGCTCCGTTGTCATGGTTCTGTGGCCACCTTCCCCAGCACACCGGGCGCTCCTCCAGAGCAGGGTGGAGTCTGCGGTAGTTCTAGGTCCTCAGAAGCCAGAGCCTGGGACTGACCTGGGTGCACGTTGACCAGGTGTGTGTTAAACCGGGGGGACATCCTAGGCCAGACCTTTAAGAGGATACTTGTGAGCTGTGGTGACTGCCATTGTAGAACCAGTCACCTGGGCCAGCTGCGGTCCCCTTGCCGGGTTTAGGAGAATGTCCCTGGCCTGTATGTCTGAGTGACATCAGGGCAGTCGGCACTGGAACTTCTAGGAACAGATGTGGGTTTGGTGAGGGGACAGGGGACTGAGAGGCTACTGTGGGCAGTGGTAGGGTCCCTAGAGACGGGTGTCACAGCTCTGCTTTCCACCCTCTTTCTGGTCATTTTTATCCACAGCTTGGCCGAGGCCACTGAGGGTGTGTGGGTCGGATCTGCAGAGGACAGGAAGCTGGGAGGAACAGCTAATGTGTTGGTCCAGAGAGTCGGGATCTAAGCAGCCCCATCAGGCTTGGACAGTGGCCAGTTCTGACATGATGAAACTGCGCACAGACTCGCGCTGGGCCGTGCTCAGCCCCCACAGCCTGGACAGCACAAACTGGGAGGCGGCGGCAGGAGCACGTGGAGGGGGACTTTGGGGTTTTGTTGCAGCCAGCTTGGTGAGTACTGGGACATGAGGCCCTCGAAGGGCTGGGGGCCCCTCAGCCTGTGGGGACAGAAGCCAGAGGACTTGTCAAGGCTGCCATGAACCTGCCCTGCCACTGAGACCCACTGAGAAAGGGATGGGGAAGGGGAGCATATGCCACAGAGGGCAGCTGGGGTGCCAGCGGGTCGCAGAGACACAGGCCTGAGGGGACAGTGGAGGAGACAGGCCCTGGACCTGGAGCAGAGCAGACCCAGGGATGCTGGGAACTGGGGGTGGGGGGGGAGTGAAGCCACAGGCTCTTGGCTCAGTGCCAGGCGTGATTCCTAGAATGGCTGCCCTGCCCTGAAAGGAACCCCCTGGAGAAGGAGTGCACCCCCACTGGCTGGAGCACTTGCCACCGTCATGTAGTGAACAGGCAGGTTCGAACCCTGGTCTATGAGGAGCATCCTGGCATGGAGAGTCCCGAGCCCTCTGTGACTGAGTCCTCGGGCTCCAACCTCAGCTAACCTAGACACACAGACACAGCTGCCCCTGGGTCACCGCTGCAGGGAGTCCACTGACAGGAGGCACGAAGGAGGCACCTGGGGGCCACAGGGGAAGAGTTTCCTGCAGTCCTCCCAGTCTTCATCCTCCACGTGCTTCCCTGCAGCTGACAGCAAATGCCGCGGTGGCAGACACTTACACTTCCCAGGTGACTCCGCCCCTCCACTGCGGGCCAGTTCCTTTTTTTTTATTTTGCCATAGGATGAGTGCGCTTGCCAGAGAGATGGAGAGACAGAAAGTGAGAAATCACCTCCCAGGGGGATGGCCATGCCACAATCCCTTCTCATCCATTCTCCTCTCGGGATCTTGGGCATGCATGCACATACACTCAGTATGAGTTTTAAGCCTCCAGGTCCAGAATTGGAACTGTAGTTGGCTACGTGGGAGTCCAGTGACATAACCATCATGCCATCTGCTGGTCCCCAGGCCAGCTCCTCCTAAGACCTGAGGCAGGAGGCCCTGACTTCCACTTTGCTGAAGTCTGGATCCCAGCTCCCCTCTCCCAAGGGCAGAAAGTCCTCTAAGGCCTCTGCTCGCACACCTCAGAGGACAGAGGACTGAGGACTCACGCCCCGCTAAGCCAGCCACCTCCACTGTGTGCAGGTTTTGTGCATTAGAGTCCTGCCCGGCCCAGCCATTATAGTGCGCTCTGGTAGATGCTGCTGCTGGGCAGGCTGAGGCCACCTGGCAGGCCCGAGTTTGATCCCCCAACCCACCTAAAAGCCAGGACCTGTAGTACCAGCGATTCTGGGGGCTCAGGTGCTACTTGGGAGGTGGAGGCAGAATTGATACATAGTGAGACCTTGTCTGAAAAATAAATGCCCTTCCTGATGTCAGAACGAAATCTGCCTCCAGGGAAGAGAATTCCCCACACTAGGCCCAGTCTGCTTCCCAGAGCCACGCAGACTGAACCTCTCTGGCTCTGCTTTAGATTCTAGGGACAGTGGGAGAGAGTGGGCTCAGAGTGTGGGAGGGGGTGAGAGGTGGGGTACAGAGGCCCAGAGGGACGCTGCCCTGGAGTCCCCTACTGCCCTCTGAGGGGGCCTACTCAGGCTCCTGGGCACTGAGAATGCATGCCTCTGGGATCTGCGTAAATGAAAAGCTTGAGCTGAACCAAAAGCCAAAGCTGGAGAATTTGCAGCTACAGCTCTCGGAGAGTTCGTGTCTGATCACCGACCACCGACCACCGACCAGGCCCAGCCGTCCCACCCCGTGGTCGCGCTCCTGGGTAACCAGGCGCAGCTCCAGTCCCAGCCCCCCGTGTGCTGCGCCCCTGCCCCTTTCTCTCCTGCATGGTAAAGAAGGCCAGGTGCGAGGGAGCCAGAGGCTCTCCCAGACAGCAGCCCTCTGCTCTACCACACTGGCAGCCTGCTGCTGCTGCCCTCGGCAGACTCGCCTCTAGGGAAGGGAAGGCCCCAGCATGCACGGGAACACAGGTCTCTGGCTACCCCTCCCTTTGCCGGCAAGGCTCCTGGTGCCTGCCTGGGAGGCTCCCCCAGGTGGAGCGAGGCTCTCTGCAGCGAGGGTAGTAGGAGCTCTCCAGAGCTACATGCACCTGCCTGGACTCTGAGCTAGGCTCCCACCCTGCCCCATATTGGGCACTTGCTCTGGGTGCTCAGAAGCAATGCGGCAGTCTTGCACTCCTTCAGTGAGCTCTGTCCAGTGACTAGTGAGACCCGCAGCTGGACAGTGCAAACCCTGGGCCACGTCTGTGAGTGTGAGACTGGAAGCAGGGCTAGTCCACCTGGGAATCAGGGTGGGCTTCCCAGAGGAGGTGGCTACTGAAGGCATCATTGAAGGATAAGCAAGAATTCTCTAACAGGGAGGGAGCATAGAGCATGGGAGTCTGGGATGGGTGAGAAAACCTGGGAGTTTTCAGTCACCAGGCTGAACGTCTGACCCTCCCACCCCCACAGCCCACAGCTGGGCCCTGTTTCCTCTCTTGATGAGTAAGGCAGTCAGCTGACTGGGCGAGAGGGCCAAAGCCCATCCCAGGGCTCCTAGCAGAAGGCCCAACAGAGCGCCACTAAGGGTGGTTGCCCCTGACCTGAAGGGGGCAGCTACACCCTATTTGGCCCTCTGGCTGCCCACTCCTCCTGTGTCCCTCACACTCACAGCCTGTCCCTGGGGGGGCCCAGGCCAGCTGCCCCCTGCACACTGGCTCCCAAGCCTGACTTTGACAGCCGCTTGGCCCAAGACTGTCTCTAATAAGTTCGAACGTGGGTGTTTGGGAGTTTTCTGCCAAAGCAGAGTTCCTCAGGAAGGGGGAGAAGGGAGTGCTGTTTCTTTAGCCAAACATGATTTCCTGATTCTAAGAAAAATCAGTTCAAAATTCTTACAAGAAATAGAAAGGAAAACAATACATATGCAGGAACACACACACACACACGTGTAAAGATACACACGTTCGTACACAGCCCCGCGTGCTCACTTGGCCTCCTTGGCTGTGATGTGGGCAGACAAGCTCCTCTGCCATGTTCGGACCAGTGATCACAAACACATGGACTCAGTTTTCCTTGAGCGATGCTGGTTTAGAAACTGAAGACTGAGAGGAGAGGAGGGTTTGGCAGAAAGTAAGCGGAGAACTGCGGGCTCTTGCTGGATCCAGATGCTGGTTTGACTCATCCCTGGGTCTCGTGTCACTCTGGGTTGGGGATGTGTGAAAACAAGGCTCAGCTGACTTCCCGGGGGCAGAGGCCAACCCCAGCTTCAGTGGGGCCATGACTGGCCACGCCGAAAGCACCTGCTGGGACCTGCGTTGTACATTTGCAGATGGTCTTGTGTCTCTTTTATGGCTGAGCTAAGACTGCGGTAGCTAGCAGACTTTGAGGTAAGTCCTGAGTCCTGGGGCACAGGAGGCTCCAGCAGCGGATCCAGCACCCCAAGTATCTAGTGACAGGAAGAGGGCTTTGCCAACACTGAGCCAGCCCTGAGGGGACGAGCGTGGGGATTCTAATGACATCTCATTGAGTGGGAACTCGACAAGGCAGGCTATCCGTGAAGTAACAGTAAAGCATTCTCCAAGTTAGAGGAACAGAAAGCTGCCAGCACTCTTTGGAGTAGTCTGTATGTTAACAGCAAAGGGGATCAGAGCAGTAACCAGTGGCCTTCCTGGGAGAGGAAGGCTCCTAGGCCCAAGAGGCTTGGCTTTTTGAAATAAAGAGAATGTAGTTAGCCCGAAGTCCATCCATGGTGGCAAACCCCCTGGCACCACTGGTGGGAGAGAGGGACCTGATTTAAGGATGTGATAATGGGGGCCAGCAGGTGGCGTAGCTGTTGTGGCACTGGACTCCCATGTGGCCGACTGTGGTTCAAGGCCCGAACCCAGTAGCTTGAAACTCATTTCAAGTACGTGTGGGTGCATGCCCAAAATCCTGAGAGGAGAATGCAGGAGAAAGGATTGCAGCATGGCCATTCCTCCTGGGGGGCGACTTGTCACTTTCTCTCTATCTCTCTCTGTGTCTCTGGTGAGCTCATGCACCCTATAGCAAAAACTCTCTCTTAAAAGAATAAAATAAAATAAAATAATAAAATAAAATAAAATAAAAAATGTAAAAAGGCCTTGATGATGTCATGGTAGGGCCTATCCTTCAGACAATTAGCTTCGCTGCCGATGTGCATTTCCCAAATGTTATCCAAGTCTTCTATGCTCATAGGTAGAGATGGCAAGTCCTCTTGCAGACAACTTTACTTTGAGAAGAGTCTTTCGAGTGGCATGTCGGGTGAAAAAGCCCACGCTGCCCCGGGGAAGGGAACCTTTCTGTGGTATGACGGGAGCTCCTTCCCTGAGATCTGCGGAGCCACTACTATGATGGAAAGGTGCCTAAGAGGCTCAGGGGCCTTTTGAGAGAAAAGAGACTCAGAGCACGAGCCCACTCCCTGTGATTTAAAGGCAGTGCCAGGGTACACCAGAGTCCCCTGACCAAGATCTGTTGGCACCAAAGGGCCCGCGCTCTAGGGAAAACTCACTGGGAGGGAAAAGACAGAGTTGGGGCTTAACCCCAAGGAGCTGAGGTCTCTGGGCCTGACAGAGGTTGCTTGGAGGAACAATTACTGAACCCTGTGGGGTGATCTAGGAGCTGGAGTGAGGCCTGTCTGTGGCCAGAGCAGGGATCTACACCTTCTACCAGACCATGCGGCGCCTGTCTTCAACAGAGACACCACGTGGAAGGAACAGAGCAGCAGGGCTGGCGGCAGGATCAGATGTTCCAGTTCTCCTACGGAATTGGAGCCAAAGCTTCTGAATGAAATAAACTGACCTCGGCCAAGGGGGTGGAGGCCTCAAGAGGAAGACACTGTGCTTCCTGCTTGTACAGAAGAATAGGATCATATTTGGCATAGTCAGTGTCAAGTCAGTTAATAAAACAAAACCCAAGTATAATTAAATCTGTCCTTGGAAATCCCTTAAATTGCCCACGAGGCTCAGGAGGCATGGTTTGTATAAATTCATGTAAGATAGTTTTCCTTCCAGCCTTTCACTGTTTCTTTAAGTAAGCACCACTAGGGCAGCCAACCTGCACTCGGAGGCCACAGTCTAAAAAGCACACCTCTCTCCATGCCCGAGACGCTGCTCTGCTGCAGGGAGACACTTGCACTCAGGCAGGCACGCAGGAATGGAGTCCGGCTGAGAGCAAAGCAGACCCCCTTTCCCGAGGTGGCTCACCTGGGTGTAGCCCTTCGCAGGGGAAATCTCCTGTCCCACCTAGATGTTTTTCTCTCTTTCCGAGTACCTGTAATTGAATTCACTTACGTTAAATGGGCATACATTGGGACTGTACCGTAAGGTCGGGCGGGGCCCCACAAATGACCTGCACGAGGCAAACAGAGTCATGCCGACTACACAGTAAAGCACCTCGCTATCCTGCCAGCACGCGGACTCCACCAGGGAGCTCCCCACGTGTTGAGCGTTGGGAGAAACATGCTGGCCGGAGGCCACTTGCATCTTCCCTCCTTAGCAAGGCTACTATCTCCGAGAACGTACAAATCAGTGTTTGGTTTATTCTGTCACCTCTTGCCAGCATCAGGAACAGGCTGGTCAAGGCTGGCTGTCCTAGTGGTGTTTACTTAAAGAAACAGTGAAAGGCTGGGACCCGCAGTTGGGGTAATGGCTCTGTCGCTGAACTCCCATGTAGTCGATCACAGTTCGATCCTGGACCTGGTGGCTTAAACTCATGCCGGGTGCGTGTGCGTGTGTGCCCAAGATCCTGAGAGGAGAATGGAGGAGAAGGGATTGCGGTCTGGCCATCCGCCCCCCGAGGGGTGATTTTTCGCTTTCTCTCTGTCTTTCTCTGTCTTTCTGGTGAGTGCACATGCCCTATAGCAAAAACAAGCAAAGAAACTAAAACAACAACAACAACAACAACAAACTTCTTTCCAAAAAAACAAAAGAAAAAAAGAAAGAAAGAAAATGAAAGAAAAAGAAACAGTGAAAGGCTGGAGGAAAAACTGTCTTACATGAATTTATACAAAACCATGCCTCTGGGGGCTCAGACAGGCTGAGCTTCTGAACCAGTCAAACCATCCCCTTGACTTGGTGAATTCATTACTAAGAATGTGCATTTACGGAAAAAGTAAAAATAACAGTGGTAAAATTAGAACTGTGGAATGATAGGATAAACTTGTCTCTGTTATCTAAAAATGCTTGTAATTTGCTTATGTGATTTTTTTTAAGTACAAAAACATCTTCAAAAGATAACGCTCCACCATCTTACAAGGGTCAGCCCAAATGATGGGCAGGAAACATCCCTGAACTCTGCTTTAACTGCCCTTCCACTGCTCCTTACTCATTTAATAAGCATTTGTTGGGTACCTATTGTGTGCCAGACTCTAAAATATCAGATGAATTGATAAAGTTGTATCTTCAGAATTCTTTTTATGGTAAGGGAGTTATACTTGTCTAGGAGAAAAACTTTAGTTGCCAGAGAGACAGAAAGAGAGAGAAGACTAAGAAAGAGAGAGAGAAGAGAGAGACAGAGAGAGACAGACAGAGAGAGAGGGAGAGAGACTCTCCTAATGGGGCAGGGTTACACTGCAATCCCTTCTCCACTTCTCTTCTGTCAGGATTCTGCACATGCACACACACATGCCCAGTCTATTTTTCAAGTTACTGGGACCAGAATTTGAACTATACAATCAGCCATTTGAGATCCAGCAGCCTTAACCACCAGGCCATGGGACTGGCCCTAGAAGAAATTTCTTGTGACCAGAAGGTGAGTAGCAGCCCCACCTAATGCCACTCCACTCCACCCCAGGGACAGAGCCTAAGTGGAAGTGACTTTTGAAAGAAAAAGCACAGGATTTCTGGCTGGTCTGGGAGCAGAGGTAGAGAGAAATAAGGTGGAGGGGAGAAAGAAAGAGGTAAATACACCCTAAGGTGACCCTGTGATACGTGCCCTGTGGAGTCCCCCTAAGTGTGGGCAGGACCTATGACTTGCTTCTGATAGAATATGACAGAGGTGATGATGGGATGCCACTACTATGATCACATCATGTAAGACTGTCTTACAGACTGGAGAGTGGGAGAGCCTCTCGTTGGCCCTGAGGAAGTTTGGAGCTATAGTGTGGCCTGCCTATGGTGCGAGCTGGGGACAGGTGGCCTCTAGGACCCGAGGGTGGCCTCCACTAAGAAGCTGGGCTTTCATTGCAAACAGACACAACGAAATGACTTCTGTCTACAACCTGAATGAGCTTGGAAGTAGGTTCTTCCGTGGTTGGGCCTCCAGATGCGAACACAGCCCAGGGGACATCCTGATTATAGCCTCATGAGATGCTGAGACAAGGACTTAACTAAGCCATGTCTGGACTTCTTATAATAAATGAGGGTTGTTTTATGTCACTAAGTTTGTGGCAATTTTTTAGCAACAGATAAAACAGAGAGAACCAGAAGGTGGCCAAAAGCCTCACACTTCTGAGTGTGATTCTTACCTGCATGCTCTCTCTCAATTGCCAGTGAAGCAGTCACCTTTATGAATTATTGTCTGGAAAGTTATGACACTTTTTAAAAAGTTTTTGAAGAAGTTTTTGATATAGGGTGCATGTGCTCGCCAGACAGACAGACAGAGACAGAGAGACAGAAAGCAAGAAATCACCTCCCAGGAGGGATGGCCACGCCACAATCCCTTCTCCTCCATTCTCCTCTCGGGATCTTGGGCACACACGCACACGCGCCCAACGTGAGTTTAAGCCACTGGGTCCGGGACTCAAACTGCAGTCGACTACATGGGAGTCCAGTGACATAGCCATTACGCCAACTGCTGGTCCCAATGACGCTTTTTTTTTTTTAAGAATTCTTTCCTTTAGTTTACTTATCATTATTGTTAATTTTTAATTTGACCAGAGTGAGACACAGAGAGAAAGAGAGAAAGAGAAAAAGTGAGAAAGCAAGCTGCCAGGTCCAGGATTTGAACTGTGGTCAGCCATGTGGCAGTCCAGTGCCTTTAACCACTACACCACCTGCTGGCCCCCATGACATGTTTTTGCATAGAGAAACATGTCATGACTTTCCCAGCATCTTAATACTTGAAGCAAAGAGTGTCTGTGTGAATGGAAAACTGTAAAGACTGTTTGGTTGTGGAAATATCAAAGCAGAGAAAAGCAAGAGGCAATAAGCACTAGGAATTCACGGAAAATGAGGAGACTTCAGCTGTCTGGCATAAGGAATGGCTCTGGGCGCCATCGCGGTGAGATGGGCAGGTCCTGGTCCGTGTCCCTGCAAAGCCACTGTGGACACAGGTGTGCATGACTTGGGTGGAGATGGAGGCGTACTGGTTGGGCCTCCATTCATGTCTGTGCTGGTGTGAAGGGAGCCCCCAAGTGGACCTCAATCAAGGGATCATTTCTAGGCAGGTGACTACGGGTGCTACCAGTACTAATTAACGCCGTGGAGAAGGAAGAGGCCATGCAATGGGGCTACTGCTGAGAACAGAAACAGAGGTGGAGGGTTTCATGAAACACCTGGGCCCTGGAGAGACCTGATGACACTTTAATAAGTTAGAAAAAGAAGAATGTGACAGCTACAATGTGCCAGAAGCTAGGCCGGTGCCTTAAGTACACTATCTTACTTAAATCTCACAATAACCCTACGAGGAAGGTGTTCTTCCCATTTTGCAGATAAGAACCCTGAGATGTTAGAAGCCTTGGTTAAGTTCACTCATCTGCTAGGGGACTCCCATGGTCCTGTCCTTTCCCAGGACTCTTTGCAGATTCCTAGCCACCCTGCCTATGCTGCCTGCCATCTCCCTTGTTGTGACATCCACGGCCACAAGTGGCCAAGGGTAGGCTGACTCAGTTGGACTGTAGCAAACCTGTCTGAGGAGGGACTGGGTTGTAGTGGATTCTAGAACAGAGGCCCAAGATCTGGAAGATGCCAGAGCATTGGAAGAGCTGGGCTACACACACACACACACACTGGCCACAACTCCCACCACTGGACATGGTGTCCACGGAACCGTCTCACTACCAGCTGGCAGGATCCTTCGAGGCAGGCCCAGGGCCTTTTCCTCCCGCACATCAGCCCTAACCGTTGCTGCCCACACTCTTGGCACCTATCGTCCCATCAGCTCTCTGGTGTCCTACATGAACCTGCTGCATGGAGCTGCAGGTGAGGTTAGTGTGAAAGGCAAGGGAGAAATAGACCCGATCTCCTCCCAGGACCTCACAGAACAACCGCAACACACATGGCCCTTCCTGTGGAGGCCCGACCCTCAGTGGGGCGTTTCCTATTCGGTAAGATCAGTGGTTATTCCAGATAGGAATGCTAACGTGTTTGCTCAGATAGATGTCACTACTGTAGTAAAAACGGTGCTGCTGGGGCCAGCAGGTGGTGTGGAGGTTAAGGCTGTGGATCCCACGTGGCCAGCTCCAGGGTTCAAATATGGCACCAGGCAGCTTGAAAAACACGTGCCAAGTGTGTGTGTGCATGTACCCAGAATCCCAAGACCTGAATGGAGGAGAAGGGATTGTGGTGTGGCTATCTCTCTTGGGTGGTGATTTTTCACTTTGTCTCTCTCTGGCTAGTGAACGTGACTTGTAGTAAAAGCCCAAAACTCAAACCAAACCAAACAAAACACAAATGCTGTCCCTCATAATGTGGTACTCCAACTGTGGCCATGAAGTCATTTAACAGGGACACTGAGCATGCCTGGGGTTACAAGCGGCATGGCAGTGGAGACAGGTCATCACCAATGCTTATCAATAAATGAGGAGCTGGGAGGATTTCGGACAGAAACTTGAGCAGGTCGTGAACAGAGGGTGGGATGTAAAACTAAGAGGAGAAAGAGAGCATTCTTGGCCCGGGTCAGCGTGGCCAGGGTCAGTGTGAACACAGGTGTGGAGACCAAACGGCATGTGGCATGGTGAGGGGCTGGTGAGGTGGCCAGCCTGATCCCAGGGCTTGGGGTAGGGAAGGGGCAGCAGGCCGTCCTGCAGGGGCAGCAGGTCGTCCTGCAGAAACTGGGAGCCCACAGCATGGGCCCCAAGCTGTGGGACCCAGACTTGCAGATTACTGGAGCCAGAAGCGCATGAGCCTAAATGAGGACCCTGCCACTGCCCTGCAGCCATCTCGCTGCACAAACCCTGTCTCCTGCAGTCACAACTTCGAGTCCTAGAGAGGTGCCCTTGTGTGGGCTGTCTAGCTATCCACATAGACAGTCCAACCCAAGACAGTGGGGGTGTTTTTAAACCCTCAGAATACTGGGAAAGTCTGCAAAACAAGTCCTGCAGGGCCTTTGGCCGTTCTGGTTCCATAAGCCCAGTGTGAGCCTGACATCTGAATTTTTCTTAGCAGCTCTACTGACGGTACTGGGCCTACAGCAGAGTGGTTGCCCCTGGAGGGCAGGGACATCAACCCCTGGCCAGGAGCAAGAGCTCCGGGACAGGCAGGACAGATAGAAGGATTATAGACTAGTCTGAGGCTAAATGGAGGAGGGTTCCAGGAAGAGGAAGGCTTGGCGCTCAGAAATGCATCATTTCTCCCCCCAAGAACGTTTAATTGCCCCTTTGCAGACAAATTTTAAAGCATTTTTAAGTGACACGGTTGCTCTGCACCAGCCCAAACTGTATAAAATGAAATGTAGGAACAAATGCTGGCTTTTCTCAAAAGGACACCACATTCCACTTCCAGCCACGAGAGAGTATGTCAGTCTGGTGGCAAGAGCCCAGGCCTTTGAGAGCCAGAGCTCGGAGAGCTGGATGGCCTTTTGTGGCTGGGCAGGGTGCCCAGGGCGGGGCTGCCTGACCCAAATCGCATGACAGTTTGTGGTGGAGGCAGGTCTAGGGCCCAGGCCTGACTTCTGAACAGGATTTTTTTTTTTTTTTTTTTTTTTAATTCAGGGACTTGTCCAAGGCCACACAGCTAATAAATGGCAGAGCCAGGATGGGAACTCGGAGTCCCCACAGGGGCTCTGCTTCTGCGGCATTTCTGTTCGGAGTAAGCTGCAGCCCCAGACGGTAAGGACAGTCCGTGGTGAAGGGAGGGCAAGGCCGCCTAGCAGAAGTCCCACGTCTGCCTCCTCCAGGGACTCGCACATTTTCCTGTCAGTCTCCCCCACTGCCTGTGAATGACAGTCCCTGGTGTCTCTGTACCACAGTGCCAGTACCACCTGCCTGCAGGGACCAGGCACCCGGAACGCGCAATGCCTGACTGGACAGGGGTTAATGACACCTGCTCTGTGCCAGGCACTCAGCTGGGTGCCAGCCTGCCAGAGGCGAACCTCCACGGGGCTGACCACGGAGCTTACAGCTCAGTGGAAGATGAAGAAAGAAGTCAACCCACGTGCAGGGTGATGCGCGACAAGTGCCGTGGTGGGGGACGGGCAGCACCGTGAGGGACGGCGAGGTGGCGTGAAGCGGGACGGGTGGGAGGGTTTCCGCAAGGAGGTAACAGATAAACAGATATAGAAGAAGAGAAGGAGGTGTGAACGGTTGAGGGAGGACGTTCCAGGCAGAAGGAACAGCAGGTGTGGGGACCCGAGGTGGGGAAGGGTCTGATCTGCTTGGGGACTGAGGCTGTGGGGTTGGAAATGAGGTGGGGGGTCAGGCACGGGCAGGCCACGCAGGGCCCCCTAGACCTGGTTAACGATTATTCTAAATGCCAAGAAGCCAACTGAAGGGTTTTGGGTAATGAATGCCATGGGCCAATCCGAGACCATGTTGGCCACTGGCTGGAATGGGTGGGAGGGGAGCAAGAGCTGGAGTGAGGGAACCGGTGAGGTTACCTCAGAGTGGGGACGCGAGAGGAGAGTGCCCTGGACCGTGCGTGGATGGAGCTGTGTTCTCGGCCGGACGGCGCCCATGGCCTGGCTGTAAGGCAGGGGAAATGGAGTAACCAGGGAGGCTTGACTGAATCACTGGGCGGACGGAGCTGCCACTTACTGATGAGCAGAAAACAGAAGGAACCAATTTGCTGGGCAAAATCTCAAGTTATTGACGTTAAACTCGAAAAGTGTGTCCAGTGGCCAAGTGGAGACGTCAGCTAGGCAGCCGGTCAGTCAGTGTGGCACGGAGAGGAGAGGCTGGGACAGCGCTGCGTCTGGGAAGGCCTGAGACAGTGGAGCATGTCCCAGTGCAGTGGAGGGAGGGACACTGTGACAGAGAGGCAGAGGGCAGGCGGAAAGTCAGGAGAGCATGAGGTGACAGGGCAGAGTGCCTCAAGAGGGAACACGTCACCATGTACCCGCTGCAGTGGAGAGCTCACGCAGAACCAGAACCGAGTGTCCTCTGCACTTAGCAACATGGGGGCCACCTGGGACCTTGACTGACTCACTGACGCAGTGAATGACTCCGAAGATGCATGAAGAGGAGGCAACAATCAGAGTGGGTTGAGGAGTCAGGGTAGGCTTCCTGAGGGAGGTGGCATTTTAGCAGAGCTAGGAACACAGAGTCCTGCAAGCCCTAACCACTGCCTGCAAGAGCTTCCTGGGAGAGCACAAACTACCATTAACTGGGAGCCCTGGCCTGGGGAGTGTTATAAACACCTTGCAGGAGGAACAGGGCAAGGGAGCCGGCTCATTACTCAGCAGTAGGGACGCCAGGGAGGCTGGTCCTAAGGCACAGAGCCCACTCGCACCCCCAGCGTGCAGAAGCTTGTCCACTTCCCTCCCTGAGGAGGAGTCCTGGGAGGCAAAGATTCCAAACCCATGGCCTCAGAGCAAAGGGCTGGAGCAGCCAGCCTGATACACATCTGAAGGCCTGAAATCTAGAGAGGCGGCGGCTTGCTCAAGGCCACCTCGTGCACGGATGTTAGAGGCCAGTCATCGCCAACCATTTCTGTGACCCTCGCCCTACTGGGTCGAGTGCAAAGTCTTCAACCGGTGTTCAGTCTTTCGTGACTGGGCAAGAGCCTATCCACAAACGTCACCTCCCACCATCACCTCCTGTGACTCAGCTCCCAGAACCCTTAGCATATACGAGCGCAGAGTCTTCCAACCACACTTTGAAATAGGCATTATTATTCCCGTTTTACAGATGAGGAAACTGAGGCTTAGAGACCCTCGTGCAGGGTCACACACCGAGACAGTACACCGCCAAGCCAGGATGTCATCTCCGGAGTGTCTCCAGAGTCATCTTTTCCCCATGTCTTGCAGGGTGACCATAAAGAGCTCCTCTTCTGGGAAGCAGTCCCCGAACACCCTGGCCTGGAACTACCTTGGAGTCAGGTCATGTCCTATGACTGCAAAGCACTTCAGTCCACTGAAAAGCCCATTGGGTGGGACTGGAAGAACCTGGGCCACGGAATGACCAGAACCCAGGAGTCCATAACTCAGTTCCCGAAGGCCAATCACAACTCTTCCAGGGCCTGCGGTTACAGTCCAGCTCCCCACAGCAGGAGCCTGGCTTCTACAGACAGTCCTC